CGTCCAAAATTTAATTTCTCACCAGGGAATGTGTATCATGATTGGATTATTGGCTTTGAAGTTTTTTTTAAAATTCAAAATTTTAATAAAATTTTTTCAGCAAAATTTAATAAATCTCATTTCCATAATTGTATCGAATAAGTAAAAATCTTATTGAAACAGATTTCCTTCCGCTTGAGAATATATAGATCTATTTTAACTTTTCAAAATAGAAATTTTCTTTTTTGTAAAGTTTTATTTAATAACATACATAAAAATAATAATAAAAATAAAAACTAATATAATTTTAGTCCAAATGAAAAGATCAAACAAAATGTTTGAGAAGAATCATCGACAATTATTTTGTACATACTTTTATTATCTCCGAAGAGTTGGGCTTCCGATAACATTTTTCTAAGTTATTGATATATAAAAAAAAAATCGGAATCGGGAAAAACCGATTCAAAAATTTTGAGGCAAATGTGATTTGCTAAAAAATTAATGGAAACGATTTAAAAAGCTTTACTTTAAGCCACAATAACTTAATTATTGTGGCTAATTATTGTGTGGTTAATATTTTGTTGATATTTAATATATATTTAGTTATTATGACAGATAGATCTTCTTCGAATGGATTTTTTATAACTATGTTTCAGTTAAAATCAAAACCGCATTTCTAATTACCATATACATTAGATTTATTCAAATATCAATATTCAATATATAATATATGTTATTTGTTGTAAAAGCCTTATTGGATATAAATTGTTTTACTAAAAATTAATTACTAAGTAAACACCTTCACTTAGTTATGTAAAGATAAATAACATAATATGTTAAATGGATATATATATTTACTTAAAAATATTTTCAGTTGAAACATGAATATATGTAAGAAGTAATATTTATGTATATTGGTATTATTTTTAACCGTTTTATTTAGACACACTTTTTATTCCAAAACTAAAACTAACTCTTCATCATTGCTCTATCTATAGGTATTTTTGACATTTCACTATCTTCTCCAATGTTTCTTAGATTCCATCACCAAAATTTCTAGTTAATACAAGTATTAAAATATAAAAACTAAAAGATATCAAAATGATATAGACTTTACAGTATATTGTAAAGAGGATGACTATTTCTTTGACATGGATGACTATGCTAACACACAAATTAGCTTATAATATATATATATATATGTTTTAAAATAAGCAGAAGTCAAAGTACTAGCTAGTAGTATTAAAAAAGAGCGATACATAAAATAAACAATTTAATAAACAAACCACCAATAAAAACTAAAAACCGAAAAATAGTTGAGGAACAAAAGTTCCGTTATGTTTATAACTTTAAGTCCCCCTAAAACATATCGATCCTTTTTATATAAAATACTTAATACTTAATTTTTTTAAATAAATATTATTATATCAATTTTAAAATAGGATCTAAAATCTCTCCTGTTAAATGAGCTACTATACACTACACACTATTATTGTAAGTAAGCGTTTACCTTAACGTGATAAATGAACGATGAATAATTTTCAAATTTTAAATAATATTCTTAACAATCAAATCCAGGACTTTGTGTTTTAATTTTCTAAGAGGCTTATTTGCGACTCAAAGTGCAAACATTTGGGGTCTAGACTACGACATATATCAAAAAAATAATTCCGGGTAACATTATAGTTTGCTCATAAAAATACTAAGTTCGTCACTATTTTTACATACTCAATCAATTCAAGTTTTTTAGTCTAACAATTACTCTTTAAACAATAGTTTATGAATTAATTAGTTGTTTATTACTTTATTTTTTTATTAAGCTAATAAAATACTATAAAATACTATTTATTTTTAAAGGCTATATATATTAAATTTAGTGTACAGCAATGATAAGAAAAGTCTTTCAATAAAATTTATTATAAATTAATTATAATTAATAAATTAATTAATTATTTATTATATTATTGGATTTGTATAACTTAGGAAGGTATGAAGAACTGCCGAAATACAAACAGCCCCAAAAATAAAGATTTTAATAGGCGTATCTAGTCAATATAAAGGAACAGATTTGAAAGTCCATTCTCTTCGAGTTCTGTTTTATATAAATAGTTAACACTTCTTAACAGATGTCTACGGCAAATCTTAAAGAACCAATGGTTTAGAATCATTGTGTTATGAAACATAAAATAGTAACATCCTTGTCAAAACTTTATACATAGGTTTCTGATACAGCATATGCAACACTGAAGTTGAATTCACAAGACTTAATAGGCGGGGATACCTAGATTGGTGTAAAGAAGAACAATCGGCAGAGGGATAGGAACATATTTTAATGAATTGAGAGCAGCATCAAGACAGCAACACTTGGCATTTTTTTCTGGATAAGTAATCTCTTAATATATAAGTTAATGATCATTTATTGTAATGATCATTTATTGTAATGATCATTATAACTATTGATCAATTGCATCAAAACAAATATTTCATACGGGATATTGTTTTGATACAATTGTATCAAAACAAGTTACCGTTGGTTATTTCTGCAAAACAATATCCCGTAATGGATTTTTGTTAAAGAGTTACAATTATTGTAAAATTAGTTTTTAGTTTAGTTTTTAATACGCTGCGTAAGCGACAACAATTAGTAGAAATACTATTAATAATAAGATTGTAAAAAATACTGTTTGAATGAACAAATAAATTAATATAAAAATTATTACAAAAATATTATTCAAAGAAATAAATTAATTTATATTAAACTTACATATATATATACACTAGATAACCCGACAAACGTTGTTTTGCCTTATAAATTATTTCTAGTTTCTAGATAAATTCTAATGTGTAGACAATAAGTAACTTACTTATTATAAGTGTGTAAGTATGTGGTATATGCATGAAATAAGCATGGAGCGCTATGAACGAAAAGGAAAATAAAAATAACAAACACCAAACAATATTATTTTTAAGTTATTATAGTTTATTTATTAAATTATTAATTTAAAATCAATAGATTTGTATGATACCAAGTTCCCTGGCAACAACTGTTGCATCTTCAAATTTAAATTATCTTGGATTGACTGTAAATAATAATAATGATAATGGGCCAGTAACATTAACCAACAACAGTCGAAGATAAAAGCACTCAGTGTGTCTTGGATTAACTGTAAATAAGCGTTCGATTAAATAAATTGAGACATGCATCAACTGGTGAAACTTGCTTGCTGAGCATCCATTTTTTTGTATGACCCATGTGAAATAGCGTGTGATACTTGTGAATAGAGTAATGTTCTTGCAAAGGCACCAAAATCATCCGTACTATTAACAATTCAAAAAATGCAGTGAGTGTAGATTTAGGTGGATTTGTACCACGATCAATCACTGGTCTCGTTCGTGAAAAAATACACGCTGACCGTTTTCAAGATGACGGCTAACTGAACAGCTGCTGGATCCCGTTCACGAATTAAAAACCGAAAGATACGCCAAGCAGCTTCAATTGGAGCTGATATACCGACCATTTGGTAGAGCGTTAATTTCAACCGTTTTTGTTCATTGGAGGAGCATTTTCATTAGTATTTTCTACTCTAAACACAGCCATATCACTGCCTTTATGGACATACTTATATATTTGATGCTCTTCACAGAACTGCAAAACTCAACATTAATATGAGCATTGTATGTTTTGCTTAGCAGAGGCGAATACGGCACCACCCGCCATTGTCCCCATTATCGGGATTTCTTCGACGATATATTGGATATCCGTCGGTATTTGTTATACATACTATCATTAGTGAAATCTTTAGAAAAATTTTTAGTACATTTTCCATCTGCCATGCAAGGCGAAGACGAAGAAACGAAGTGGATGTAAATGCTCGATGTACTTGTTGGCGTAGTTACATAATATATTAAGAAAAAAATTTTTCTTTTTCAAAAATTTAAACAAAATTTATGTCAAAAAAATAAAAAATTTTTTGTTAAAGCAATAAGGATATTTTTGCTGGGTAGGGACACCCAAATCACTTTAGCGGTATGAAAAATAGATAGTAGCCGATTCCCAGACCTACTGAATACGCATATAAAATTTGGTAAAAATCGGTAAAGCCGTTTCGGAGGAGTACGGTAACTAACATTTTGACAATGTTAATTTTATATATAAGATTTAAGATATATATACGTCTATATATATATAATATACGTGTATGAAACTAGTAAGTTGTATATTCAACATCATATAAGTATTAAGCTAAGGATCGATAATAATAACTGAGACTAACTAAGTCCTTGACTAAGGCACCTTAAATTTTTGATTTTTAATAAGAAAATATATTTATAATTATCCTTCCAAATCTTTGATATGATTTGACTTATTTAAAAGTCGAAATTGCAATAACAAACCATAGATTGACAATAAGAGTAAAGAATTGATAAGGTTAGTACTTATAGATGTCGCAACTCCAACGGAGGCTATAGACGAGTCAGTCCATATTTCACGTTCGATTAATGTGAGATCAGGATTTTTTAATATTTTTTAAGTTTTAAATAAAATTTAAAATATTATACATACATTTTAAAGAAGTTGTGGGGCAAATAAAACAATAAAATTAGCAGATTGCATAGCAGCAATGAGAGGAATATCCTAAAAGATATCAAGTGTATTTCATCTATCCTATATGCTCTTTATTCGGCTAGAGAAGAGAGTATATACTACATATAGTTATATGTCATCAAACTTCTATGTCATATGACATCAAAATATATAAGGTATATCTTTTAGTTTTGTAAGTATATTCTTTCCCTTCCCGCCGTAATTGTTTCTATGAATTCCCTATTTTGAAACCACATTGCTACTTTAATCACACTGAGAACGGAGTAAAAGTGCTTGGTGACAGTAACTCCTTGCGCTCATACAAAAACCAAACTTGTACACAAAGAATATATCACTTTAATAGAATTTTAATTAATTTAAATTTATTCTAAAATCTTAAAAGCAAATTCAAAATGATATGTACAATTTTTATATATTACATGTGTATTAGATATAGCATTGAGAAAGAACTAAAGTTAATGTCCTTCAATCTAATATAATCCAAACTTTTCAAGAATTATATACACTTGCCTGCAAGTGTGTTTTTATAAGTTTTATGTTCTTCATCTGTTATTTTATTTCGTGTCCTCGACTTTCGTGCTTGTTTCTTTGGATTCGCTAACGTTTTCTTCTGGCAGTTCAACTTCATTTGCCATAGTTTTAGACTTTTCCGAAATTTTTGTATTTTCATCATCTTCAAACGCTTTGTTGGTGAATTGACGGGGTACTGTTTCATAAATTGATTTCTCTCCGTCCTTTTGCATCAAAAAATCTTCTTCATTCCATGGTTGTGGTAAAGCAGATCCCCAAATTATATAAACTAAATTACCAAAAAAGAATATCACAGCCGCAATTATGAACACGATTTGCCATAGCGTACGATCCTCCTGCAAATAATTTTACAAAAAATAAACTCAAATACATAAATATCTATCAAAATTCCCTTAATTACCTCTTCCGTCACAATTATACCAACTAGTAAAGGTGTTATAATAGGTATAAAGTTGGCTATTGTGTTCACGATGCCCATCAAAATGCCAGCATGATTTGGCGATAAATCGATTGTGTTCAGAGAGCTGCCAATTGTAGCACCACCATTAATGCCTACACTTATAGTCAATAGGACAATAGCCAAGGTCTTTTGATCTTCATCAACAAATCCAACACCAATTAGCGCAGCAGCTGGTATCCACAATGCAATTGTATTAATAGTTTTGCGGAGTGCTGTCAGTGAAAGGAGTTTCTTTTTGAGCACAATATCAGCTGATATCAAATATACGTATGAAAGCACCCACATCGTCAAGTATGGAAGTGCAGAATACAAGGCATTGTCCTTAATTTCCAATTTGAGCACACCATTCATGTAAGACGGTATTTCTGCTTGTATTGTAGAGAAACCCCATGCTTCAGCGCAGCGCGCAACTAGCAATGCATAGAAAGGCACAGAAGTGAATATAGCCACCCATGGAATTGGTATACTCTTCGCATGGAAATCATCTGCTCGCTGTAGAGATGACTCGATATATGTTCTTTCCGCAACAGTTATAAATTTTGATTCAGGCGCATTATTGGCTGCAAATACAAGCCAAAGAACACACCAACCAAATCCTATACCGGCAGAAATATACGATATGCCAGGCCAACCCATAGAACCGTGAGCAATAATGCCACTGGTATACATAGCTAATACAGTACCACATTCTATACCAGTATGACTTAGCGCTCCTAGGCGATTACGTTCTTTAAGTGGTGACCACTTAGCTAAGTGAGCATGTATGCACGGAAACAAGAGACCTTGGAATAGACCTTGAACTATGCGTATAGCGCAAAAAATCTGCCAACCTCCCCAAGGTATACAAAATGGTGTTATTAAACTGAAAGCTGCAGAACCACAGATAGATATGAACATCGTGATTTTAGCACCAAAGCGTCGACTCATGTAGCCACCAGGAAATTGTGTGATAACGTAACCCCAATAAAAACTGGATAGAATATAGGATTTGTGCTTTGAACTCCATTCGTATTCCTATATAAAACAAATAAATAATATTCGTAAATAAAATCTTTTGATTCTAATGATATGTATTAATTAACGAAAAAAATTAATACTTACTGGAAAGTCTGGATTTGTAGTAGCGGCATCCGTCATGGCAACAACTGCAACTGCAACATTTAAGCGCCCAACATAAGATACTACAATACTTAGAAATATAAGGAACGCCTGTAAGTGACGTATACCCAGCATGGGCCCTGTAAATAAGCAAGTAAATTTTTACTATTTAGATTTATAGATAAAAAGTGGTTTAGTTAAATATAATGTGAACTTAGAAATTTACTAAAAATAATTATACATTAAATGCACAATTAATTATTTATTTATATTAGTATTTTTCTTAACCTTGATTTTAAAATAAATAGGATATTAAAATATTTATTCGACAGAAATTAAGAGTTCTCTACCAAATAGAGTATAAGGGCGAGCACTAAGCCAATAGAGAGCCGGTTAGAAAGATATCGTAGTAAGAAGTTGGACTTTTAGCTATACACTTGATTGGCTGGAAAGTTTTGGAATTTATATTTAAAAATTTGCTGAACACAAACATGAATTTGTGTTCTTCTATAGTTTCAAATTCCGAACAATTCTTACTCAAACAGGCATTAACACTTTTGGCTTCTAACGCTACTTACTCTAGTAGGATTATTTAATTTTTTATAGCTTTGATTTTGAATGCTTCGTATTCAAGCAGGAAATAATACTTTTACCCGTCAACATATTATATGTCAGCAAGAGTTGATACTTATTACTTTTAATATTAATTTCTCAGGTTTGAGTTAAGGCTTCTGGTTTTCAATATTACTTACTCAAGCCGGAATTATTACTTCTGGTACCCAACGCTTCCCAAAACAATTCGAACCCCAAACACTTGATAAAGAAGCTGTACTTAATAATTCTGGCATTACTATTTCTCAAATAAACCGAAATCTATACTTCAGAGTAAAAACACTTCCAGAAGTAATTGACATCAACCTCTTATCTGCAAACAAAGAGGAAACATTATTACCTTTGCTAATTAAGTGCCAAATTGTCGCATATCAATGTCTCCGTAGCCAGTAAAGAAAATCACAAGTGGACGTATATTGCCTGGGTGATGTATATCTTCAGTAATTTTTAAAATTCAAAAATCGTTCTGGATATATACGTTTTCAAAATACCATGAAGTACCGGTTCTTTGTCTAAGTGATCTGTTTTGAACTTTTTATGATTTCTCGTCATTAGAGAGACAAACCGACATCCATTATGGGTTGGGTTTTATAATTTAATTGAACCCTATTATTCAAACTAAGTTCCGAATTTCTGTTAATAGAAAAATATAGTTGCTGTGATTTTAATTTTATTTGAGCTTTTTTATTTTCGATTCCATGTCAGTCTTCTGTCAAGCTTTCTGAATGTCAAAATATTTCACGTCGGAGTATAAAAATGTTATTCAATATTTTAGTGGCATAAAATTGACAGTATTAATTAAAACTACGTATACGAACTTATCATTGTTATCACCTATTTGATAGGACGCTAATTATCTAATAGTGTTGAGAAAGAGAGTTAATTCTCAACCACAAAAAAGGAGCGTTTTTTAGTTCTTATATTTTTGTTTATATAGTTTTTTTCTTATATAAAAATAAACCAAGCAATCATTTATATTAAAAATAGCTCTCATAAGCCCTTAAATAACGAACACATTGTTTCAGAAAACAAATTTAAAACAATCACGTAATATAATAAATTTTGTTTAAATTGTAAACACAAAAATATAGAGCTTAATGCAATTGCCAATTTGAAACAGAATTTGATTATATGAGATATACAACCTTTTTTACTTTTATATTTTTATAGACGTTGTTAATAAGTTACCTCACAGACCACTTTCGCCTGTGCAATAATCTTTAAGAGATAACAATGTCCGATATATAATAAAAGCTTTTTATATCTGTATTCTGTTATGTCAATCGAAAACAAGCTAATAGTATACAAACAGGTATTACGTCCAATTTCAGACTACGGACCTCAACTCTGGGGTTGCACGTCTTAGTCAAATAAGCAGATAATCCAATAATATCAAAACAACATTCTAAGAACAATTACCAATGCTTCATTGTGTGTCCGTAACAGCGACCTTCATCGCGACTTGAACGTTCCGACAATTGATGAAATAATCACGCTTCAGGCTGAAGCTCATAAAAAAAGACTTAAAGTTCACTGCAACACAGAAACTTCATCACTCCTTCAAACAGAAGGCCTTGCACGACGGCTAAAGAGAACCAAACCGTCTGATTAAACTAATCAAATTATATATTAATCATTATACTACGTATAATATTACAGATAAGAATTAATATCGACTATTTCAAGTCGCCGATGTAAAAACATTGCTAATTAGTCTTTATATTTATTTAGGCGCCAATGAATAAAATTATAAAGAAGAAGAAAAAAATAGTTTGTGTCTAAGAGGCGATGAGACTTCTAACAACGGCTAAGAAGAGACACTAGAGCGGTTGCTATGTGTTCAACAGGTCTTCTTTTTAGCGGAAAACATTGTTTCGTCCAGAAAAGTGAAAGAACTGTGAGAATATTAATTTGTAGCTTAGTGTAGATTAACATATAAAAATAATTATGATTTATTTCAAAATTTTAATAAAAAATAATCATAAACAAAAAATATTTGAAAAACATCACTATATAGTATAGTCTTAAAAAAATCATTACTGAAATAATTGATTTATCTCTTTATAGTTCCTTTTGATAAATTTAATTTAATTTTAAATAGGTTACGAAATGAAAGCGTCACCTTTCTAGTTCACAACATTAAAAAATTCAAATAAAATAAACATTAAATTTATATTGGAGAGTGATATGAAAGTAGAACACAAAAAGAGGAGACCACGGGAACGATGGACTCAGGATGGATGAAGCATGATATTGAAAATTTTGGGTTCAAACCACTACTATCGACTAGGATCTAAGACAGCCTACAAATTGCTGTGATGTTATAATTTTAAATATTTCTTACTTTCCAATTAGGCAGGAGAAATGGAAAGGGGATTCAATTCCACACTTCTGGTAATATTCTGTGGATGGCGTTTGAGCACCAGACTCACAAATCACTGCAACGTTATGAATGTTACAAATTAATTATGTTATAATTAAATTTACGTCATATATATAAATGACGTAAGTATATATATATATGACGTTCTGTTTTAATAAGTGTCATAACATGATAGAGTTATGTATATCACCTTGTTATGAGGAGAAAGACGGTTCGTTGCTTCAGAACCAGTTTCACAAACTACTGTGTTATATTTACAATATTATTAATTAAATATATTTTAAATAAATTTAAATTGATGAAATAATCATCAGCCCTTCAAACAGAAGGTCTTGCACGACGGCTAAAGAGTAGCAAACCATCTGATTTAACTAATTAAATTATATATTAATTATTATACTACGTATAATATTACAGATAAGAATTAATATCGACTATTTTAAGTCGCCGATGTAAAAACATTGCTAATTAGTCTTTATATTTATTTAGGCGCAATTGAATAAAATTATAAAAAAGGAAAAAGTTTGTGTCTGAGAGGCGATGAGACTTCTAACAACGGCTAAGAAGAGACACTAGAGCGGTTCCTATATGTTCAACAGGTCTTCTTTTTAGCGGAAAACATTGTTTCGTCCAGAAAAGTGAAAGAACTGTGAGAATATTAATTTGTAGCTTAGGGTAGATTAACATATAAAAATAATTATAATTTACTTCAAAATTTTAATAAAAAATAATTATAAACAAAAAATATTTGAAAAACATCACTATATAGTATAGTCTTAAAAAAATCATTACTGAAATAATTGATTTATATCTTTGTAGTTCCTTTTGATAAATTTAATATAATTTTAAATAGGTTACGAAATGAAAGCGTCACCTTTTTAGTTTATGATATTAAAGAATTCAAATAAAATAAACATTAAATTTATATTGGAGAGTGATATGAAAGTAGAACACAAAAAGAGGAGACCACGGGAACGATGGACTCAGGATGGATGAAGCATGATATTGAAAATTTTGGTTTCAAACCACTACTATCCACTAGGATCTAAGACAGTCTACAAATTGCTGTGATGTTATAATTATTTAAATTAAATATTTCTTACGTTCCCATTAGGCATGGGAAATGAAAAGGGGTTGAGTTGGCTAAGCAGCCGCTTTAATTACACACTTCTGGTAATATTCTGTAGATGGCGTTTGAGCACCAGACTCACAAATTACTGCCACGTTATGAATGTTACAAATTCTAAGCCTGGCACTTGCAGTCTGAACAAATTATATACGGACTATAAACTAATTAAATAAAATTCGATTATTTCCAAAGACCACTGATGAAGAGTACTTGGCAATACTCGAAACAGCGTTGTATGGTCAGCCAAGTTTAATAAATTAAAAATAAAAAATTTTTTCCTTTTCCTTTCTTTGCTATTCGAATCGGTCTAACTTTTAAATAGTTTCTTTCGTCATAAAAAGACACTCCATTATCGGCAACAAAAAATTAACCTTTAATTAATTTATAATTAAATTTACGTCATATATATATATGACGGAAGTATAAATATATATGACGTTCTGTTTTCACAAGTGTCATAACATGATAGAGTTATATCTATCACGTTGTTATGAGGAGATAGACGGTACGTTGCTTCAGAACCAGTTTCACAAACTACTGTGTTATATTTACAATATTATTAATTAAATATATTTTAAATATATCATTGTAGGTAACTAGGTGCAATGGAAAGAAAATATAATTCTCCAATTTCCAATTAACTTAGAAATTGATTCCATTCTATTGATTCCATATTTCTCATAATATTGGATAAAGTGTTGGATATTTTTAAATCAGATTTATATTAATGTTATAAATATTATTAATTATTCTATACTCCATATTTCTCACAATTATGGGTGATGGATTATTTGTTTTCGAGTCAGCCCTATGCGTTCATGCATTTTATTTTGTACTATTAATCTAAGATAATACGATGTACAGCAAAGCATGGGTTTAGATCTCAACATAATGTCGATTTGTTTTAAACTAATATAGTAATTATAATTTGTTCTGGATCACACAAAAATCACAAATCCCTAAAATTTTCTTTTTGTTTTCATATATTTCAAACCGTTATAATCGGTATAATATTGAAAATGTTTATTTTAGTGATATGAGTACACGAAGTTCGAAGTTTATTGTTAAAAATTATCTCGACACGATAACGTAAATATTGCCTCAAGTTCCCCTTGTGAATTTCCTTATCAGCAATATAACAATACTGGATTATCCACTAATTGATGCCAAATACTACATATATCAATTAATGTTCAAGTACATATGTACATATCTAATTTCTCTTATCAAAGACATTGTTCACGTGGGCTCTGTTATCGCAACCATCAGAGTTCATTGAAGTGCTGAAATAGGATGGTTATTTTTAGTACCAATTGCCTTCACCGACGTAGGATTACTTAAACTGTTGAAAATGTTATCTCGATGGGTCAGCTTGTTAGTTAAAAGGAATTCAAGTGAAAGTACGAGTATATGATGGGAGTTATCGCTTCATTTATGCTTTTAGAGCCTACTTTTTATGATTTAATTGTTACGAATTTTTGTGATTCATGGGTTATAAAAAAAAATTATATTGTTGTTTTGTTCTGACTTTCAGATTTGTGAAAAATTTGGTCAGTCGATCTTATCGATTGCCATGGAAGATTGTATCGCTTTATGGCACAATTCTGTTAGAACAATTACTTTTTATACTATAAAAGCATATATCAGTAACTAGTTTCCTTGGTCTTTGTATATATTTGGAAATGTTATAAATAAAGTCAGATTGTATTTCAAAAATATAACAACAAAATTTATTTTGTAATATAAATTCATTTGTTTCACTTTCGAACTAAAACTGCACATATGAGTAAATTATTATTTACGGTAGTAGTAATAAATTATTATTTAAAAAAATGCTGTAAATAAAAAATCACAGTTTGAGTAAATAAGTAAAAATCGATTAATATCGACAAAATTTAATTTAAAATATTGTATATACAGACGTAGTGAATTTGTTGGGAAATAATAAATTATATTTTTTATTTTAATTTTATTTTTAGTAACAGAAATAATTTAAAAATATACTGTTTTTAATTGTTCAAGTTATATACATTAAAACTATTTAATTTTTTTAAACTTAATATTTTTTTATTATTTATTTATTATACAAATTATTACCTTTAGAAACTTCAGTAGTCATTTTTATTAATGTATATAATTTTAGTTCAAAGACCTAATAATTTCCATACGTGTTTTAAATGCAATAGAGATTAATTTTTGAATTATTTGTTAAAAATTTTTAATTAATTAGATTTAATACTATTTTACTAATTGATTTGTATTTATTTAAAGTAAAAATTTAAAAGCCTTTTATTTTATTTTAGTTTTTTTGTGCCTGTTGGCACATTGTTTAACTTTTTCACTTCCACTTTTCCTGACTATCAAAACCTTTATGAATTATTGCACAGCAGATTGATTATAGCAGGCTAGTTAGGCATTCTAGATTGAGTTTTAATCTCATCACTGATTAAACCTGTTGTAAATTATTTTATTGCCAACCTCATGTGTACGTCCGTCTAAGCATTTTTATTGTACGCAGTATTTTTATCTTTTACAACTTTCATACCGAAGAAGTACGCTCGAGCGCATACTTAGTAATATTTAACAATAATAATCAGCATAGACGGTACTTACGACTATTTTTAAAATAATTAATAAAAATTATTTTAAAATAAGTAAGGTAAGTCCCTGATACGGCATTTATAAATTAAGTAAATTAGTATAATTTAAACAATGATTTTGTTAAATTACACATTTTTATTTAAAGCACGTTCTGATGTTATGTTTTAAGACCTTATCTTATAATTAATTATTTCAAGTATTATTTTTAAATTGTCTGTCAAGTTTAGCATTTATCAAATGCACTACTTAAATCTTTAATTGGTATTATTATTTTAAAATTAATTATTTATCTAAAACGGTGATTTACATTATAGGTAAGTGTTAAACAAAAACTTAAATGCTGTCGATTTGAAATCTTTTCCAAGACTAACTATTTTACTTGTAGATGATTTGTTATAGTCGACGGAGCAGATAGAATGTCTAACAGAATAATTACTTATATTACATACGTACATGAACATATTCCGATACTGCATATATATATATATATATGTATATATATTGATTCATAACAATAAAAGTTAGTTTTGTTGCATAATCAAGCGAAGAAAATATTACATGTTATTTTATTTACTTTGTAAAAAATATACACAATGAGCCGTATTATTATTTCCACGATCAACTTTATCATATTTATACTTAAATATATTTATCCGAACTTTTGCATAATAATTATAATAAACATTGCAAACCATATTTGTAAACACTAGTAATATCATATTAAATTATTTCATTCATTTAAATTCAAAGATAATAAAATGATATCAGTTTGATATAAAACAGCTGCTAAAATTTTTTAAATAAATACTTATTATCTTATTATTTTTTAATCTTATTCCATTCGGTGTTCAAGCTGTCTAATCCACTTATATTAAATCCTACTGAGCCGCTTAGATTTAGTCAATAACCCATTATAATAAAAATAATCATTTTTTGTAGTTAGAAGACTTTCTAAATAAAAACTCCCTTTGTCACTATTTGCTATTTCCTAGCTTATAGGAAACTAAAGCAAAAAAATCATTATCATAGGTTGGATGTATGGAAAAGTATACTTACTCGCGGAGTACCCACAGACTTACTATATCCAGGTAAAAATGCCGTTTTTGTAGGAACATAATTATTTACAAAAAAAACCATTTTAGTAGAACTACGGAAGTATTTATTTATTAAACTATTCGTGTATACTCTTTAATATTAGTTATGGAGAAGTACGGTTTAAATGTGTGCATGAACGCAAAATTCAGACCGGAAACTAATAACAACCAAAAGAGCTATAACACTACATAAAAGATGCATTAGTGGAAAATTGAAATGTAAGACTTTGTATTTACAATCATTTTCCACCCATACCATCATCCTTGATAAAGTAATTTCTGGAAAGATTAATTCAATATCCATTTTAATCCAAACAGAGCACCACCTTTTTTTCATTTAAATCCCCACTTAAGTCGTATTGCCATTATATATCTTACTTTTAAAGCTAACATAATATTGTCAAACAAAACTTGTTAAGCAAAAAGTTGTATTTTAATTTCGTACAATTGATCTTATGTTTTATTACATATTGAAAATCTTAACACCATATTCTGGAACAAATCGTTTTGTAATGAGTCATGATCTCATTATAAAATTTCTCTTGCTTTTGAATCTTAAATTTCACAGAAAAAAATTTGCTTCATCGCTCATGGAAGAAGAAAGATAATCCTGTTCAGAACACTTCAGAAGCCCATATTCATCATAAAAGGTGAGTATTCAAACCAATTTATATATTTAAGTTTCTATATAGCGCTGCCCCAAAGTAATGCGAAAATTCAATCAAAATTGTTAGCTACGCGCTAGCTTTTGAAATTCGGTAATATATAGAGAAGCCATATTTTCGAGTCATTTCATATGAATGGTATTTAATGACTATGCTATTTATAAGCACTAGTCTGATGGTACGCACATTATTAACAATATCTTCTAGTTCACTACCAAATCACAGAAAATGACTATCTGTTGCCCCTAGATATCTGATGGGAATGTCTTATCTGCCTAGTTGTTTACTCTAAGTCATCATGTTTATAAAAGAGTAAATGTGTTTAATCACAACAACACTTGTACCTAAATAACATAATTACATGGTACATAATAATATAAAATAAAACATAATATAATGTAAAGAACAATTTAACTGAAATTTCTGAAAACTAGAACATACATTAAGACCGAAAAGTTTTCGGAAATTCTCATTTAAAATTCGCGCGCTGTATATTTTTCGATATTTTAAGTTTATGTAGTTTGGCAGCAATTAATGACAATTACTATGCCAAAAATGAGCGCGATCTGTCAGACAGTTCGTTTACGGCAGCTGTTGAAACCAGTTCACCTCAGTAGTGCGTTGCGAAAAAGACAATGGAAAAAAATATTGAACAAAGAGTTTGCATCAAATTTTGTGTTTCGAACGAAATTTCGTGTGCAGAATCGTTGCGAATGCTACAAAAGGCTTATGGGGAATCAGTTTTATCGAAAAATCAAGTTTATGAGTGGTACAAAGCCTTTCAGGACGGTCGTACGACCGTCGAAGACATTTCGCAACGCACTACTGAGGTGAACTGGTTTCAACAGCTGCCGTAAACGAACTGTCTGACAGATCGCGCTCATTTTTGGCATAGTAATTAAGGACAGTGCTGCCAAACTACATAAACTTAAAATATCGAAAAATATACAGCGCGCGAATTTTAAATGAGAATTTCCGAAAACTTTTCAGTCTTAATGTACATTGTATTATCATTAATTGAACATATTTTTAAGATATAGTAATGACCGTTCTAAATGAAATACTGGAAAATATTATTTGTAGATTGTGAATAAATAGCTATTTATTATTTTACGATAATAACTACTAACCCATATTTATGTTATATTATGGTAAATTACAATCAATATGTGTAAAAATGTACCTCAACATAAGAGTTGACATCAAACACGTACCGTATCAGTAGACCTTACACTAAATCTTTGTTTAAATTTTTATATAAAGTAATCTTAATCAAAAAAACCACAAAAATAGCTCTGCAAGCTAATCGACTAATTAATATTTATATAAAAAAGTCATAAAATATAAAGTGTGAAGGAAAAGATACAATTTACTACCTCAAGTGCCACTTAAGAATTGTATTGTTCAGTTCTTGACAAGTGCTTATCTCACTTACATATACGACTTTCATATCGGGGGAAACTATTTGAAATGAACAATTATATCAAACACAAACTTATTAACAATCAATGATAGCTAAATTGTTTACGTGATTATTTATTTTGAAATTTCATCACCTCTTCGGGTTTAAGGGTTATGGTCAATCAGTAATCAGTCTGATTTACTTTTACTTCCAAATAATTTTTACTTTAACATTTAATCGTAAAATACAAGGAAAGGCTATACATCCCAAAGGGAAGGCTATTAAAACCACCTAACCACACGTTAAGGTAAACATTTTTCACAATTTTGAAAAAATATCGGATATGAAGTGGATGAAAAATAGAGTAGACCTCAATCAGCTAAAAAGGTTTTTGGCCTTTTGATTCTATATTCTTCGAATGCTTAAAAAAAATAATGTTGTGCTAGTAAACGTAAGCCTGGATTTGGAAAAACAGATTTGCCGCATCTTTACTTGAGCGAATAAGAGCTATAGATATTAAAGTTTCCGTTAAAATGGATTACATTTTAGATATTTCTAATTTTTTTTTTAAATAAATCAGAGGATTTAAATGTGGAACCTTTGTCACCCGTAATGTGGCTGCTAAAGAAATGTCAACCAATTCTTGTTCTATCGCAAGAAATGGTCTTAATCTGTGTCTTGCTAAATTATTATTATCTTATTAGCGAACCGAAATCAGAGTTATCTTGTAACAGCTCTCTAATAATGCGAGTGCATTTGTGAACCACCGTTGACTAGATGCATTCTGCTATATAGCTTGAATAGCTGGCTGATTGTTTGTTAGAATATACACTTTCTACTTCTTCTTCGGACGGTAAAGACATTCAATTGAAATATTGAAGTAGATTTGCAGAATGAATATGATTTCCATATCCCTATATCTACGAAGTAAACTACTTCTCCTATGCAGCCATACTTTCTTAAGAATCTAAGTTTCTGTCTTTAAAATAATGTTACTTGATTAGAAAATGGTTCTTGCAATCAAGTGCTGTCCCATAGGAAAAATAGTCTTCACAGATTTGTAGATGACTGAGTAATTAACTGATCCAGTGCATATATTCGTTGCCTTGTCTTTAAAAAAATTTTAAAAAGAATGTACATTAATTTTTTTATGACTTTCTTGATGATATAATTTACTTTAGAGGAATCAAAAAAGATTACTTGGCATTATCTAAAAACAAATAGGAGAACCAAAATCATTATGCTGTCCATAATAGAGACTTTTTCTGTGTTTGAAATATTTTGTCTATTTAGTATTCTATATTGTATACTTTTTTAAAAAGCTTGGTTATAGTCAAAAGTTGAGTACTAATAAGTACTACCTCTATATCCTAACATAAGCTAGAAGAGTAATTAACATTTTTCGAAGCAAAATGTCTATAATAAATGTGATATGAAGAAAAGAAGGCAATAGTTAAGAAAATTTATATTCACGAACTAAATTTCTAATCAAGTAAACCATTTAGACTGATCATAAAATTATTTCGGCTGACGTCACATTAGCAGACGTTAATCGTCTGCTAATTTAATTGACCGTATTTAATTTTGGACTGCAAGTGTTAAGAATTTAACTTTGCCAAATCGGTAGTCTTGTCTCGTTTTTTAACACACAATACCCTTAATATTCTAGTTGTTTATTTGTAAATCACTTTTGCACTCGCTTGCCATTAGAACCAACGCATAAACCACAGCTACACTATTTACTCAACTGTTATGAATTAATATTTTTTCAAATTTAAACGTTACTGTTTATAGAAAATATTTCTAAGTACTGGTTTTGGATCTCTCGCTTATTATTAAGTTCTACAGTAGCTTCTTTTCTTTTTTTAACAAATATTATGCATTATATAGAAAAGCGAGTAGAAGTAAAAATATCTAAGTTCCAAAATTTACCGCTAAGTAAAATAGTAACTACTGTATAAAAAAATACGTTTCTAAAATCTTTTAGAATGGTGTCGCTACGAAAGTTAATCTTGGTATAAGTCTTGCAGAATACAATAGTATTTTGTACAAATCCAAAGCATTACACCACTTTTATCGCATTTTTACTTACAGTCATAAACAGTTGAATATTTAATAAGCCAGTGATAGACTACTTATACAGCAAGTTATTTGGTTAAAAAGTAAGCATGCTCCTAAATTGTATGCTTCATAAATTTTATAATGTTTAAATTACGATTAGTTTATACTGATGATATTTGCCAAACATTACCGGTAATAGCATGAAGAGCACGTGCTGACAAAACAAATGCATATCTATTATAAAGCAATCCGAAAGATGAGATTAAATGGAAAACTATAATTTACAGATAAAGCGAACGATAAAATATTCGTCTTCGCTATATATTCGTAATTTAATAATTTACGTATAAAAAAAATTTGGAAAACATGAACAAAAAATACTTTGGGTTATTGAGCTAATAATTTCATTGGGATAGTGTTTAGTAACCTAATATAAGATCATAATTAACCACTATTGAAATCTATTTTTAAATCACAAAACGACATATCAATTTACTCATTCGGTACTCCAATAAAATAGAACACCCATTGCTCTAACCAGAATTTCATATGTCAACTCCACAAAATAGGTTTGAAAAAAAACGACCTATAAATATATTTTTAGAAATTTAAATAGTGAAAGATGAATGGTCAAAAGTGACTAAATCGTAAAAAAAATTATTGTAATAACATTTTTTCTCTGAAAATAAATTGGTTTTTCTATTTTGAACTTTTCTATATAAATGATTTTCACTTTTATTTTAATCGATAAGAATCCTTGATAAGTTTATATCCTGCATTGACAATTAATAAATTGTAAAACCACATGTGGAATTTGAAAAGATGTTCATACCTAGTTCAATATCCTAGTTTCATAGCCAATTGTATGTAGCTTCTTATAGGGAGTTTATATGACCTTTAGTATGTGTCACATTAACTTCGGAAAGTGTACTTCATCTAAATAATAAAAAACTGCAGTTTTTAGAGTGTTTGACTTTTAATATAAATCAATATACAGGGTGTCAAAAATAAATTCTACCTTAAAAGAATTAATTAATTTTAAATAAATTATTAATTAAAAGATCAATTTATTCTTAAAAATTGTAATCGTTTTTTGGTCATTAAACATCATCTGATTTGATGATTTATATTTGGGTGCTAATGGATTTTGAAATTACTGTAACTTGAATTTAATTTAATTCGAAAAATTCTGAATTCTATTCTATTTCAATATTATTGTTTAAATAATTTAGTGCCATAAAGACAGGAAAGCTATTTTGCTATAGGGAAAAGGGTTCATAGTGCGAAAAGTTTTAACTACAACAATTCATCATTAGTGGTCTTTAGAAATACTTTAAGGTTAAAAACTTCGTATATAATTTTTTTGGACAAAACTTCAAATATGAATAACACGCAGGTTCGACCCATTCTATACATATAAATTTTAGTTGTATATGAATTAAGTCAATTTATATAATTAAACCAACACATGTTTCAAAGGACAACTAATGACGAATATCTGGCGGTGTTCGAAACGGCTCAATAATTCACTTAATTAAAATTAAATTTTTTGCTTTTGAAAATTTTCTAACTACTACCTCATTTTAACACCTCATTAACTAACTACCTCATTAACAATATACTTCTTGTCATAAAGCATAAAATTTTTAATAAAAATTTTAATTAATAAGTCTATCTTATAATTCTGTTAAAACTCATATGAAGACTTGAAAGAGCACCGATATAAGATATTAGTGTTAATTAAATCAGTTCCAATTGCATTGCTTAGTTGTATTAATAACATAAATAAAAGTAATTAATATTAAAAAATAAAAGTAAGTAATTAAAAAATAATATAAAATAATAAAATAAAATTTTTGTTGTTGTAGTTCACTACTCTTCGAAAAAATCTCTTTATAAGAGTAATTAATAAATTAATTAAGACAATTTCAGTTCTATGTAAAACTACTATTATCTTAATTAAATATATATGTTGGTAATAGCGTTTAATTTAATATATTTCAGAATAAGTAATCACTATAATAAACTTATTGCACACATTTTATCTATTGTTGTGTAGGTTACTTTTATTTTTAATGTATATATATATTTTTAATTTTCATTTAATATAACAATAGTATAGTTTGATTTCGGAAACATATATAATTATATACATATGTAAATAAGTTCTTAAAAATATTTCTTATGTTAATATCAATTAATGTTCATAATCGAAAAAATATTTGCGGCGAATAATGGCATAATGTTTATATCAGCATTCTTCTGCACTAACTCAATATGTATGTAATAACATATATTAAAATGGGCCACAACCATTCTGCGGTCCTTCATGGAGCTTTTTCAAACTTAAAATTAATGAATGGTTGGAAAGAGCAGCTCAGTCTGATTGGGATAATTCATTTGTCTGCAGACAAGCTAAAGAATCCGTGCCGTATCGATCAAAAGCCAGAACTAGGGAGCTACATATGCCGAACAGAAGTGGCATTCGATTTGTCAGAGACTGCTACTCGTCTATGGAACTAAAATGGGTATGTCACAATAATCCTCAAAGAATGCACTGACGTATGGCAACAAGTTCCCAACCCGTTTTAAAATCTAATCTAAATCTAATGTATATCAAAAATTAAAAAATATATATTATTATATTTATTATTTTAAATAAACAATAAAATACATTAATATATATATTATATAGTATTTTTACAAATAATTCATTTTTAAAATTTCTTTTTGGAATATTTAATAAAATTAATTTGGTTTCTACTTTAGTGAATGACTGCATTCTGAAAATATCCATCGATCAATCGATATGAAAATATGATTTAATCTAATTGAAAAAGAAAATCTTTTGTTATAGTCAATAGAATGAAATATATGTAAAGATGGACTGAACATTATTCGTACATTTCTATTTCTAAAAGCAAAGTCATACTATTTATTATCGTTTATCTTTGAGTAACGCATTTTAAAACATCTGTTTGGTTTGTAATCTGTGCATCATAGGAATTTAAATTGATTTGTTTAAAAATAATCTATGAAATATGGTTGTATTTTTACAAACCAGTTAAATTATATTTAAATATAAATATCTATTAATAGCATTCTATGAACTAATCAAAAAACTCAAACTTTTAATTTAATAAACAGATTTTAAAGACATTAGAGTTTAGTAATAATTAAAAAAGATAATTTTATTTTAATTAAAATATTAAAATTATATATTATACAAAACCGTTAAATAAAAAAATGAATTATTAAAGATATTTCCCAATTTCCTATAATTGGTTTTAATCGAAATAAATTAAATCTCTCCAATTGTTGAAATAAACTAGATAAGAAGTGAAATTCTTTAAATCCACACATTCATATATATATTAAAATATAATATAAAATAATCAACTAATATTTTTTTGATCTTAACAGAAAATCTATAGTTTCTGCAGTTAAAATTTTACTTATATAAAATAGTTGGTCATTTGTTCTTATATACTGTATGGCTTTTTAAACATTCGTGTATAAAAATATATATATTTAAAAAATAATTTTATTTTTAAAATACTTTTTATTTCAGATTATTAAACATTAAACTAACAAATTATAATAATATATTTGGCACTTAACAAATTATTCAATGGAATCAATTTATTGTTATGTCTCCGGTTATATATATATGTACATAGAATCATTTTATATTACACTATTAAAATCGCCTATTTTGGCTGACCTCAAATATAGGATTTCTTTATTACCAAAAAAAGTAATAGAGAAAGTCAATCTTATACATTCCATAAAATTTTGAAATTAAAATTTTTCTAACTTGGGGTCGCATTTATGTTAGTTGAATTACTTATTGTAGAGATTATCTTAAATTTTAGTGTTAAAATTATTTAATAATAGTAGTAATAATAATAATAATAATAATAATAATTATTG